GTGTCGCTAATTTTTTTATCGCTACCATTGTTATCCTTCCATAGAGACACAGTGAAGTGGTCAGTGGTGAGTCTGTGACTGCAAGTCTTGAGGAAGAGCCCGACGAAACTAAGAGGGTACCCAGCTAGACGGAAATAGTCCGTTGAGCTAGCTCGTTAGTCACTTGGGACGAGCTTCTTTGATTCGAAGGAAAGGAAAATCGTAGTCCGTGAACTTGAAAGAAGTTTCTTAGGTGAGCTTGGATGGATGGTTTGAGATGAATGATATTGTTATGCAGATTGTTTGACGATCGGTGTAGATTTGGCGAGCGTTAAGTTAATAACGTGAGGAAAAGGAGTAATGGGGATTGGCTAGAAATGAAGGAAAGCATGATCTTTGCGAAGAAGTGAAGCTTGAGTGGAGCCGCAGGAGCTTCAAAGGGAAGGAGCTTGAAGAAGCGAAGATTCATAATGTATTGATACAGTAGGTAGGTACTAGGGCAGCTTCAAAATCGAGAGAAGACAGAAAAGGACCAAAAAATTATATCAATTAATTGATGCTGTAAATACTGTAGTTCATTGATCGAATAAGGAAGGGTCATGTTTGATGACATTACATCCCTTTGTGCATTTATTTGTACTTACTTGAGTCCTGTGTTGCACCTTGAAGAGATCTCGGATGCAAACAGAGGAAAAGGTGTAAGAAAGGTGTAACTGTCGCGAAGAAGTGGATATTTTGAATGTAACCAAATTTATCTTAGCTTGTAGTAGCCACATTTGCCGTGAGCAGCTTCCCGGTTGCTTCAATGAAACTGTAGTCAAGGTACCACTCTTGAGCCAATTAAAATGGATGCTGACGCCTGAGTAGATGTTGAATACCGATTCTATCAGATCAGATCATCAGAGCGTAGCGAAGAAGCAAGCCTCCACGGCAGTGGCCCAGCGGAGCGTCATCAGACTCATACCTCACTCACTTAGCATTTCACCATCGTCAAACATCAAACACCAACGACTTTATTCGAGGAAGGAATAAGACAAAACGCTTTTTACGGCGGGCGATTAATCATTTCCGATAAGAATGGAAGGAAAAATGACTTATTAGGTAGAAACTAGACAGACTAACGTTGTTCCTGTTCAAAATCAGTCCACTTTAACCAATACTAGTGATCAATCCAATCCCTGCCGAATGAAAATAACAAGCTTTTTAGCGTCTCGAATCAGGAACGATTTGGATAGCGATGGGAATTGAGTGATGAGATTCCGATAAGAAAGGAGGAAGGGATGGGAAGGGAAGGGAAGGGAAGGGGGGAGGAGGAAGTGAAGTATGTGAAGGGAAGAAAGGGAAGAAAGGGAAGAAAGGAAAGAAAAAGTTGCTAAGAGTAATTTCATTTTTGACCAGGTCACGGATCTCACGACTTCATTTTATTACCCTTTTGCTCCGAAGGCAATACTTATTTAAGTTAGTGCCGAGAATGAACCCCCTTGATGAAAAAAAAAAAAAAAAAAAGGAATGAAATGAGGGGGAGTAATACACATATGATTGTGAACTTGGCTAGTAGTTATTGCCTTGGTAGGTAAATATGGGAATAGGTCGGTACTGAAGAAGAAGAAGAAGAAGAAGAAGAAAAAGAAGAAAGAAGAAAGATTTATGAATAATAGAGAAGAAGGAGACGACGAGACGACGAGAGTAATAAGCTTAAATACAATACGAGAAAGAGACTCACAAGTCAAGAAAGTGTACAGAGTCCACCATTCATTCAGTACCCAGGTAGTACCAGCAACATTAACCATAGGTCAGCTTGGCAACATACAAAGTCACCACCAAAGAATACTCAAACCACTCAAACTAATAAATGCATTACATGAGCAAGCATTGACGTGGAGGAAATCCAGTTAGATTCACGAGCTAACCTTATCTTGGTTAGATATCCCTGTTGGAATTCTCTGATTCGTCTTCACCCTGCCCATGGATCCATCCGCTAGCCCCATTCGATCATGGCTTTCCCGCTTTCCACCTATCTTATCCCTAGTATTCTCCGATGGTAACCTCTTTAGTATCTTTTCACCTTTGGAATTGTACCATCCATTGGTACTTACTTGCCCATAGTATCTAACTCACTTTCACCTCTTTTTATTTCCTATTACCAGTCCAGTGCCAATACATTTTCACGATAAAATCAATTACTGTACCCCCCAACCACCTTCTCTAATTGATCAATAAATAAAATAAATAAATAATAAATTCCATCTCCTCTTCCTCTTCCCTTCCTCCTCCTCCATCTTTCTCTAATAAATCTCAACAATCCATATTCTCTCTCTCTCCATCCGTCAAATAAAAACATCTCCAAATAACTTCAATCTCTCACTCGTCAACCTTTCCGAGAATAATTAATAGTCAACTTTCTTCGCTCTCAACAAAATCCCACCACCTTCCACCAAGATGTTTATCAAGCCAATCGTCGGTCTCAGCATCGTTGCCCTCGTTGCAGCTCAATCTTCCAACGCTACCATTGAACCAAGCTCTATTGACGCCGTTACCAGATGTAAGTTCTCTTTTCAATCTATGCCATGAATCATTCATGTGTACTGATAACCTGTCACAGCTCAATGGTGTACCGCCGAGATCAACACTTGTGGAACTTTATGTAGTGGTGCAGTCGATGCCAATTCCTGCGACACTGTAAGTCAAATCCTTTCTCCCTCGAATTCTTGCTCGATCTTCCCTTACATAATTTACACATGCTGACTTTCCATTCTGACAGGATTCCTTGAACTACACCTGCACATGTTCTTCCAACGGATCCAGTCCAGGTCTTCAATACTACAAACAAACCTTGCCAACCTATATCTGCGAAACCGTTTTTGCAAACTGCATTGCCGCAGGTGAGAATGATGCCGCCGCTCAAAAGCTTTGCAGGGAGACCGAAGCAAAGGACTGCGGTCATTTGGATCCAGATAATTACACCGCCCCTGCCACCACTTCCGCAAGTTCGACCGCCTCCCCAACCGCCACTGGTACCTCCACTGCATCCACTACTAGCGCTTCAGCCGCTGCTACCTCTTCTGCCGCCGCTTCAGCTTTGAACATTGGTCGTGAATATGGTACCGGTATCTTCGCGGCAGGTGTTGCTGCTGTCGTTGGTTTGATGCTTTGAAAAGGAAGTTCGGATAATGGATTTGGGAATTATTGTCATGATCTTTGTATCTGTACAAAGCGCATGAGATTCTGAATCATCCGACGATGATTATGTGTATAATTTTTACGCTTCCACCTCATTATTTTTGTTTTTAGCGCGTGTCTTTGTTGTCCTTACTTCTTTTCTAATTAGCATTGGTGTTTATGGCTCGTGGTTTTCACGTTTCTACATCGATCGATATCCATTAAATGTCTTTGAAGGCATGTAAGAAGTGGCTGAGCTGCTAGTTTTATTATAGCAGATATTTTAATAACGGTCAAGGGGGATGATTAATGATTGAGATGAGATTGGAGAATGGTAGCTGATGAAGCTCGACTTCAATACATACCATATTCATAAACTGGCATAGCATAGCATAGTATATACAATAATGCGATTGTGCATGTCAGAAACTTTTGATTACCTTTTGGTTTGAGTGAGATGATGTTTTCAATAATTCTTGAGGGATCAAGTTTGATATGTGTGATGATGACGGTAAACAAGTGTACAGTATAATCCAAGTGGAATCTTGAGATAAGCTTTCTAGTGATCTCTTTGTTCTTATCTAACCCACCCTCTTCTTTCAAGAATTGATGTATTTCACACAAACTTGCGGAAGTGAAGGGGAGAAAGGAAGGAAGAAAGTTGAACGAGGCCTATAATGTCAATTAAGGATGTGTGGTTACTGATAGATACTATGGTATAGTTTTTAGACTTCTTTGAGGTGATGGGAAATGGGAAATGGGAAATGAAAAACGGAGCGAACCGAGGAACTTGGAAAAGGAGGGAGGAAAAGGAGAGACGTGGAAAGAAGAGAGGGAACGGGAAGGAGGAACGTGGAATAATTGAGGGCAAGGAAAGGAGAGAATCAATCTTGAGGAGTTGTTTGAGGGGAGTGGTGTGATTTTGAGAGAGGAGAGGGTGTTGAGTTTTTTGTATCTTCGAGATGTAGGGACTGAGGAAGGGAAGGAGAGAAGTAAGATGAGAGGAATGTTTGGTTATTGGAAGATTTGTTCTTGGGTTTCTGAATTCTAAGCTCTGGGGATCGGGGGGAGGAAATGGTGAATCATGGAGTGGTTTGTTTTTCGGGGGGAGTTGATAAGGATGGAGACTGAATGGGGGGTTTAAAATGTTGATTTGTTTGAGGATTAGGGAGAGGGGAATAGAGAAGTAGAGAAGTGGAGAAGTAGAGAAGTCAAAATGAGGGGGTTGTTTGTGGGGAGTGGCGGATGAGGGTTTGTTGGAATAGTTTCATTTGGATGGTTGGGATGAGGGATGAGGGATGAGGGATGATGATTGCTGGGAGAGCTCTTCTTCGCGGGGTCTTGTTCTTTGCGTGTTGTTTGTTCTTTAAAGGGAAGTGATGGACGAGATTGATTCTTCGTGCTGATGTCTTTGTCCATTGACAATGGACGATTATCAATCTTCCCTCTAGTGAGTGGTGGATCTTTTGTTCCTGATAATATCTTTGTCTATCGACAATGGTTATATCTCCTCATCTTTCATCCTGTTTCCTCTCTCTTTCATCCTTCATTCATTTCTTTATCCTCTCCTCATAAACCAATTGTCTTTATCATCTCCATTCGAGTACTTAACCTCTCACTGTCCCCCTTCCTCCACTCAAGAATCTAAGAAAACTCATTCTATTATATCTTTCATCAATTAAACTAATTATCTAAACACTATAACTGAGATTACAAGTAGCTGGTCTATTCTGCATTTTTCAATTCGTACTAGTAAGTTAACACATAGTTTCATATGCTTACATTACACATAGATATACACGGTCAACAGATTGATCACTACAAAACATACACAGAAAGAGATATATATAAACAAAGCAAAAATGAATATCGTACACGTCCCCCAGAAGACCCCAGTGTCACCCGACACCCCCTCCTTCGGAGTCGAATTCGAATTCCTCATCGCAGTTCTCGCTAAACCCAGCATCGAAAACCCCAACCCCTCGGATCCACGAACCGTCTACTTCCCCTCCACCCCCGAAGACCACGCACCCGCCTACTTCTGCATCCCCGCTGGAAAAGAAGACTGGGCCAACGAATGGTCCATCTACGCCCACATCAAACGCAGTCTCGCCTCGATCGGTCTCCCCACCGAACCCGGAAAAGCCAATTCCAATTTCGCCATGTGGGAAATCACTCGAGATGGTTCCATCAAGCCCTCCAAACCTCCTCATCGCCGCAACAAAAAAGCCTACGCCGATTGGCAAGCTTACACCTATTACCCCATCGAAATCCGCACGCCCGCTTACTACTACAGCGAAGATGCCCTCCGCGACATTGCCGATTTCTGTAAAATCATGCGCAAAAACTATCTCGTCACCGTTAACGAATCATGCGGTCTACACGTCCATATCGGCTACGGAACGCAGGGATATGCTCTCCCGCATCTTCGTCGTTTGGGCGCTATGATCCAGGCTTTCGAACCGCAATTCGAATCGATTCATCCGGAATATCGTATCGATTCCCGTAACGATCATTGTGTTTCGTTCCGCGAAAATACGTATTTCCAGTGGAAATATAAGCAGGATCATGGAAGATCTCCGCGCGTGCTGGAAACTATCGCGACGATATTGGCGTGCGAAAGTAGAGATGCTTTTCGTACGTGTGTGACGGCCGCGGGCGCACATCCGTACGTGGGATACAAAACGGCGTGGAATTTTGATCGTATGGGGACGGAGACTAGACCGCACGATAGGTGTTTACCTGATACGATTGAGTTTCGGGGACATGAGGGATCGTTGGATGCGGAGGCGGTGGGGAACTGGGTGAGGGTTTTGGTTGGGGTTGTGGAGCACTCGAGGAGTGCTGAACCTTGGAGCTTTGGAGAGTTGCTTTCGAGAGTCAAGGAGGAGAGGTGGGTGAAGGGGGAGAGAGATCAGAGAGTTACTGGGAGCGGTAGGTATGAGCCCGGTGGGGTTATGTATAGACCTGTTTTTGGAGAGGAGTGGTGCGGCTTGGTTGATTTACTGAGAGTTTTGAAACTGGATGGTCCGGCGCTCTACTATGAGAATAGAAAAGGTAGGTGGTTGGAAAATGGAGTTTATCATCATTGGTATACGCAGGCTCCGAATGAGTATGTTGTTATACCTGTTGATGATGATGATGATGATAACGGAGGAGATGATAAATCTTCTTCACCTTCAACAAAATCATCCTCGGGCTCTAAATCCGGTCGTTTCGATCCTTTCAATCCTAATCCTGTCGTTCCTGCGCAACCGGATGAGAATCCTGAAGAGGAGAGAGCTGAAGGTCAGACAACTCCGGTTGATCTATCACAATTCGGTATTAATGTCGGATTTTTAGATCCTTCGAAAAAGGTAAGTCTTCCCCCTCCCCAAACCCACCCCTCATCGGCAAAACCATCTAGCAAAAAATCGGATTCCCCAGATTCCTTCCCTGTGCGTCCGAATGCTGGAGTAACTATCGAGATACATCCCCCGGCTTCTGATGTTTCTTCCGAGACACCAGATATCACAGTACCAGTCGTAGCACCAAATACCGATACCTTAGATCCTAGACCTACTCCTACCGCACGCCCCGAATTCCAAGTCCCTTCTTCCTCATCCTCTTCAACTACTGATTCTAGCACCGAATCGGTTTCCCTCACCTTATCTCACTATGAACGCGAAGACGCCAAGGCACGCGCGGTCATGGCGAAATATTGGAAGGAAGAACAAAAGCGCGAACAAGAGGGGAAAGAAGCCGAAGCAGAGAAGAAAACACGAGCCGTTGCGGAACAAACAGAAAAAAACAGAAAAAAGAGTAGTATGGATCTCGGAAGCGAGAGAGCCTTTAGCGTGCGAAGCGCAGGCTCAATACCCCAGTTCGAGGACTTGGGAGCGCAGGATGAAGAAGTTTGGCAGCCGGAAGGATGGAGAAATGTAGATGGAGACGAGGCGAGCGAAGAAACGAAAGTTTTTCAAGAAGAAAGAAAACGGGTTGAAGAGCAAGAACGTCTGGAAGAAACCATCCGTAATCTCAGACCGGGGATCGGATATCTCAGACCCGTTCGTCATCCTCCTCTTCCTTCTCTTCCCGGCCCGGTAAAATATACTTCTCGCGATAAGAATCAACATTCGCATCTCCTTCAAGGCACTACCCCCGAAGAAATCGCAGCCCTCGCCCCCAACACATCCAATTTCCTCGGACGACCCTTCCACCGCCGCTTCCGCGCGCCCTCGACCCCCTGGCTCGAGAATGCACCTCCAGGCTCCAGCCTCAATCCCAAACGCAACCCATACCCAGGCCCCGCCCCCGTCGTCAAGGAATACCATGCCATCGCGCTCGCGGACGCACTCACCAGCACCATCGGCGAGCCCTGGACCGAAGACCACGAACTACGCACTCGCTCGCAAGGGCTCGCGCGCATGCTGCGCGGCCACCAACTCTCCGAAGTATCACCAACCATCAGGAAACGTCTCATCGGGCACAATTACGTCGTCGAACATCGCACCCGCGCGAGGGAAATCCACGCGTTATTCCCCGCGCGCGCGCACAATGTGCAGGGCTTTGAAGATGCGGAGGATAGGTGGTGGAGGAATCAGATTGCGGAGGGGGAGATAGTGAAGCTGGAACGACAGGCTGCGAGTATGGATGAGGAGGTTGCGTTGACGGCGTTGGAAACGCTGGCGGCGTGGCGGAGAGGTGATAGACAGTATTTGTATGAGCCGGTGGGTGTGCAGAATCCGTTTTTGGGAGCCCCGAGAACGCAGCCCCAGGCGGAAGAGGAGATTAGTCCTGGAACGGTGGTTTTTGGTCCGGAGACGGATCCGAATGCGAGACGGGTGATTAGAGATCCGAGGGTGGAGGAGAGGAGGGTGTTTAGAGAGACTTTTTCGCTGGATATGAGGGCGCAGCAGGAGTTGGAGGAGCAGGAGGAGAGGGAGGTGGAGGAAGAGGTGGAGAGGATTGAGAAGGAGAAGAAGAGGAGGATGGAGATGGCTCTTGCGCAGATTTTGAGGATGAGAGAGGAGGCTGCGGGGAATGAAGAAGAAGGAGAAGAGGAAGAGGAGGAGGAAGAGGAAGAGGAAGAGGATGAGGAAGAGAAGGAGAAGAAGAGGAGGATTAAGGTGGCTTTCGCGCAGTTCTTGAAAACGAGAGCGGAGGCTGCAGAGAAGGATGGGGACGAGGAAGAAGAAGAAGAAGAGGAAGAAGAGGAAGAAGAGGAAGAAGAGGAAGAAGAGGAAGAAGAGGAAGAAGAGGAAGAAGAGGAAGAAGAGGAAGAAGAGGAAGAAGAGGAAGAAGAGGAAGAAGAGGAAGAAGAGGAAGAAGAGGAAGAAGAGGAAGAAGAGGAAGAAGAGGAAGAAGAGGAAGATACAACTACAGCGGCGCCGGAGCCGGACAATAGTTGGCAGAGGGGTGATGAGGGGGGATTTGGAACGGTTTAGAAAGTAGGTAGGTGGGTAGGAGGTAGGTTTTATTTCTTATTGTCTGGCTATTTGTTTATTCGTACTTGAATTTCTTACATATCACTCTTCATATTCGGTTTTCCTTGTAATAATTCTCTTTACTGTTAATCACCTTAATTCAAATCTTCTTGATAAATCTTCTTGGTAAATCCTCTTCCATCGAATCTCCTATCAAATACCTTTCCATCAATTCCCTTCCATCAATTCCCTTCCATCAATTCCCTTCCATCAATTCCCTTCCATCAATTCCCCTTCCCTCAAATTCCTTTACAAAAACCCCCCTATAAAAATAAAAATAAAGATACAATTGATTAATTAATACAACTTTTACTGAGATCATAAAGACAAATCGTGACGTGATGAAACCCCAAGATGAGAGTGATGAATATCAGTATGATATCTGATCTGTGCTAATTGATCGAAGTTCCTTTTTAAAAGGCCTAGATATAGTGAGAGTGAGTACTACTATCATATAGATCTCTGTGTTTGTTTATGTGAGTAGTTTGCGAGGAATTTGCGAGGAATTTATGAGGTTGATATTGTGTTGGTGGTCTTGGTCTTGGTGTTTTGGTGATGTTTTGTCTCTTTGTGATGGCTTTTCTTGTTGTATAGTGTAAGGGAGAGTATGTAAGGGAAGGAAGAGTGCAATAGATAAGGTAAGCATGATAACTACCTAGATATGTAGATTATAAATCTAACGCTCTACGCTATGATATTGTATCTAGTTATCAATGTCATTCTGAATCTCACTTTGATGTATATATTAGGGATCAACTTGAGGGTTGAAAGTTTGAGTAAGTAGATACTTGAGTTTATACCATTGATATTTTTACTATTATGGAAGCTAGTAGTTACTACGCGTGATATGAATAAGATCTCGAGGCCTAGCGTCTCGGTAGCTAGACACTATATATAGCCTCTTTGCGGTCATATACTTCGTATCTCAATGATATACTCGAGTAAGATATCAAATCTTGACTACTGGCCTATAAGAGATGTTTGATAAAATAGTTAAATTGAGTATGAAGTCGTATTTAATGAATAAATCTTATTCTTGTAGTCTCATCAGCCTAACATCTTTTGAAAGGTCCTCGATGTCAATTGTATTGTTTGCGATTATGTAATCATGAGCACTCTTTGTCTACCTATATTGGCATTTCTTTGTACGCTTGGAATTTGATTGATTTTATATAAGAGATAGATATGATTAGCCGATTAAACCATATCGATCTTTTATATTTTGCCTCTTGAAAATAAATAGATACCATTCGAGTCATCAACACAAAAACCACTGACGAGAAATTCGGGTAGTCGATCGAGTGCAAGGGTCTCTGCGGCGAAGAATAATACATGCCTTCATTTAGGCATCTCCATACAATCCTTACCCCTCACTCATCGTAAATCGGGTACCCCACTTTCAAACCACCCTTCTTTTAGACTACCTCAAAAAAGTTTATTATAGAAAGCAACCTTCCACTTTAAATCTTTAATAACTTTATAATTCTTGAATTAATTGATTTAAAATTTTAATATATAATTATTTATATTATATTTAAGATATATATCAAAGTTGATATTAATTCGACTTTATGTATAACAATAAATAGGTATTCAATTCGACAAGTTGCTTTAGATTATAGGATTTTAAAGGTTACTCTTCAAAATTATATAAATGGCTATTTATCTTATAATAAAGGTGTATAATATAGGTAAAAGATAATTTTAATATAAAAAAAATGATTAATAGATTGAATATTAGTTTAAAAGTTTTTAGATATTGATCTTATATATTAATAAATTCATAAAATTAGGGAGTATCTTTTTGATATTAAGAAAAAAAAATTTATACTTAGGAAATGATGGGTATAGAACTTTCTTTAAAGGAATTCAAAGATTAGAATTAAAAAACAAGTTAAAATTGATTTAGTATATGTTAAAGATATGATTGTTGATATTATTAATTAATAGTTTTCAAAATTGAATTTATTTTTAATTTATTATATTAAATTTTAATATTATTATAATATAGATGAAGTAGGTATATAAGAAGGTTAGGAATTAAATGGATTAGTTCTAGGAAGCTTAGAATATTGTTTTATTTAGAAAAAGAAGTTTGGTTTTAGAGTTTGGATATTATTTATAAAATGTATTTTAATTGTGGGAAAAGTTTTTAATTTCTTTATTATATTAAAAAGGAAATCAGTATAATAATAATAGTTTCCAGCTGATTTGAAACCTTATAAAAGGTAATATTTCATTATTATAAATAATAAGTAAACTACAAATAATATTGTTCTAAAATAGTTTAAAAAGGTTTTTATATTTTAAACAACTCTTCCTTTATTGAATGAACTAAAACTTTTTATATTAAATAAATATAAAAGTTATAAAACTATTGAATTTATATATAAATACTTTAAGTATAATATATATCTTTTATTCCTTTCACTATATACATTATATATTTTATAACCTTTTGATTTATTTGTTTTCTTACCTTTCAAAAGAGTATATAAATATTATCTTAATAAATTAGTCTCTTTATTGAATTCTAGAGTAATTGAAAAAATCAATTTCTTTATATATTATCAAAAAGCACAATTAGATAATTTAATAAAGTATAATATACTAACTAAATAAAAAGCTTTAGATTTATAACCTTTAAATCATATTAAGCTTATTATATTCAAATTATTATTTAAGAATAATAATAAAAAAGTCACAAATCAGAATTTATTTTCTAATAATAATCCTATACATCAATAAAATAAAGAATCTATAATTTCAACTTTTAAAATATCTCAAAAAGCTAATGATTTAAGATTATATATATATATATTCCTTTAGAGCAAAGAAATCAATCTTTACATTCATTATTAGCTTTTTAAAAAGATTATTAAGGGATTCGACATTAAGGATTATGAAATTCTACAATCTAAACATTAAATAAAACAATTAGAATATTAATTGAAGCAAATTGTTTCTAAAAAAAACGTAAAATGAAAACTAATCCAAATTCAAAGTTTTTTAAAATTAAAGAGATTAGGGAAGTATAAATTAAAACAGGAAACTATAAAATTGATATAAAAAATAATAATAATAATAATGAAAGTATATCCTCAAGTATTTATTATAATATCGAATAATTGTTAAATAATTAATGTTTTAATATCATATAATGTAAATTTTTAAGGTGGCCTAAAAGAGAAATGGCCTAAAAGTGGGGTACTTGACTTATATCATACATGCTGATATAGAGATATGTTTTGCTATCGAATCCATAAATCTAGTTATATTTCCCATCTACCTATCTAGTTTTGTATTCTTACCGTTTCTCCTTCTTGTAATTTTATAAAGGCTCGTGCACGTAAACATTTGTTTGTATGTCAAAACTCTCCTCCCCCCTTTTCATACGATATTATTACTAACAACTGCAAGCTTCACTATCGAACTAACTTCCCCAAAAGTCTTTCTTCGTGATACAAATCTTTCCCACCTATTATTTCCCAATGGTGTACTATTACAATGGAACTCAAAAACAAGCCCAAATCCTCCTCCTCAATCCCCCACTCACAAACCTCCGAACTTAACTTTCACGACCTCACTATCGAGATCTGACCCCGGATATACGAAAAACTTCTCATCGCTCCAGACTCACTATTACTTATTTTCACCTCCAGCCCAAATAAATCCCCCACAATTAACCTTCCATAGAAAAGACGACGATTATTTTTCTCCCCTACTATTGCGCGTCAGCAAACAAATCCATCACGAAGCAACACCTCTTCTATATCTCCACAATCTTTTCCACCTCTCCCATTTCTATGATGATTTTGAAGATCATCTGATGCCATCCAATAACGGCATTGTTAAATTTCTAACTCAGATAGGAAATCACAACGCAAGCATGATTCGACATCTGGGAATCTATTTTCCACTCACGAGGAACGAACTCGACGCCGATTGGGTGGAAAATCAAGCTCCAGACTTCACTCACAACGCGTGTACAAGTCTTGCGACGGTGAGAATCTTGTTGTGGAATGATTGAAATCTGGTTCGCACTTATAAGGGAATGAGAGCGGATGAGACTGTAGTAGCATGGTCTTTGCAGAAGATTTGAAGAGGATAGATGTGCTATTGAAGAGGAGTTCTTCTTAGAGAGAAATTAGCATCGGCTTTTGTATTTGGGAACCCTGGGAAATATCGGAGGTTGATGAGATGGCGAGACGGTTGATACTTGGTTGTGGTTGGAAGTTCGGGTTACGAGGGAGGAAGAGGAATATGGCTGTGAGCTCTGTCAGTTTGGGGGGGTTTAACTATTTGTAGATCATAGATTGCAGGAAAGCGGTCGAAGACATTATAAGAGAGCCATGAGTAGCACTGAAGTCGAGGTTGGCCGTTTTCAAAAATGATTTTTTGTGTGTGTGTGTGTGTGTGTGTGTGTGTTGATTCTATAAATGGTCCAGAAGGAGAAATGTCTGAATCTCATGATGTAACTTAGGACAAACGAGCACCATTAGATACCGAACCCCTTAATTCAAAGTTCTGTGGAGAGCGAGATAAGTGATGAGAGGGAAATATCAAAAGCCAGACTTTAACATCTATCAAAGCCTCCCAGGCTTGCTACTTACGTCACTCCTCACCCCCCAAAATACTTCTTTCCTCTCTAAACTACAATCTGTTAACCCTTTCTATTTCCCCCTACACTTTATCTCAATAACTCCACACCCAACATCGTCACACTTACCATTCAACAATGTAACCCCCCGTATGTATTATCTATGCCGACCTCCAAATCATACTAGCCCCGCTGCACCACACCCTGCATCGCAATTATCAAGTTCGCATGAGGATGGCGGACAAGGCTCGCAAGACAGGGATTGGATTGAATGTCAGGATCTACATATGATGGAATTTAAGGTTAATTCCACCACTTATGAATGAAAGATAGATAAGACGAAATGACAGACTAGCAATAG